CATGTGGATGGGTGGTGGTTGGGCGTGTACTCCATTAATCCCGCGAGCAAGAAAAGGAAAGTTGGCGCCGCCAGGGGCGTCTCCATTTCTCAGCAGCCCGTCGTTGCCTCGCGGAGTTACGGGCGAGGGGAAGGCTTCCACCGGCGATCGCCTTTGACGGTCCGGTCACGTAGGATCATCGGTTCCGCCGGCGGTTATGGGACTGCCGAGACCGCTTCGGGCGTGCTCTCCGCTGGGAAGAAGCTACAGTACCGCACTGTGCCTTCGCTTTGGCACCGTCGCGGGGCGCAAAGTGGGCGGCCGATGGTACGTTGGTAAAATGTGAATAAAGGAGAGACTCGTCGGCTCAGTTCTGCCCAGGTACGGCACGGCGGCCAGAGTCCATTCGCTGATGTCTTGACGCAGCGAGAGGGGGCGCTGCTATCTCTCAACATTGCCCTGCACCGCGCGATCTAGAATTTTTTTTTTTTTTTTGTCTCGAAGCTGCCGCGTCCCCACGGCAACCTTATCGGGGAGGCCATTGTTCCCGCCTTGAGGACTGCCGCCGCTCATAAAACACTGCCAGAGTTTGCGACGCGCCAACCTTCGTAGCCTTTCTATTCTGGACGTAAAGCCTCCACTTTAGCGGTGCCCTTTGAAACAGAAGGAAGCTTGTCAACCTATATTTTTTTTTTCTAGTTCTGACTTTCCCCCGCGCGATACCTAAGCCCGGGTCGCGTTAAATCTGCTCGGACGTTGTATAAAGTTGTATCCAAGTTGTATCCATCCATCCATCTCTCTTCCCTTTGCTCGTTTGTTAAGGCGTAATGAGTCAGCCTGCATTCTCCCGGGGTTGAGCGATGGCGAGTGTGGTGACTACACGTTTGTCACTGCAGGGTAGACAGAAGGAAATGGAAAGAGTGAAATACATTTACACTGTAGAAAAGAGTAAAAAATGGTATGCCCATTTTTTTTATCACAGGTGTATTAAAACAGCAGATATGATTATTCAAGTGTCACAATAATTTTAGTCTACGCATCGCTTTGTTGTGCCAGGATGTGGTTCCTTAATGCATTACGCATACCTAATGAGGGATCCACTGGTTCCATAAAAAATGCTGTTTTCTTTTTCCTCCTTATCGGCGCATAAAGATGAAGGGAAACGCAGTCAAAAGGAATAAGCATTCTCACTGGTCAGTCAATCGCATGTGGCGATACGTCACTCATTTAGCGGTCACGGTAACTCTGGTATCGGTACTGCGCCAGAACGAAGGAAGGAAGAATAAGAAGACAGAAAGGCGGGATCTTCCCTGTCTTTTTCTTCTCCTCTCCTTCGTGCTGGCGCTGTACCGATACCGTTCAATGATATCAACGAATTAGCCTGCAAAAAGGTCTTACGCGATAACTCTGTGCCTACAGAGCATAATATTCCCCACGTGCACAGCTTCCAGTCAGTTTGTCGAATGTACTCTAGAATGATTATGTACTTTTGGAAAGAAGCTAAAAATGAGTTTCCAACTTAAGGTAATGTAGACGTTATCGAAGGTCCGTCAGTGAGAGCTGGATACGAGAGTTCGAGATGACCGCGTTGGTCAGTAACTGCAGGGAGCCAGCTGTGACCTTGGATGATCGCGCAAACAGAGCGTCGCGCCGCGTTGACCAAGGCCTCCCTCGCGATCATGCACGACTCGGCTGTGTCTCAGCTTGCGAATCAAGGCTGCGCGTGGGCATCATCCCCCGCACAAATTAGGCGTGCTGCTTCTTTGCAAATATAGCATCTGCTGACACTGTATGACGCTTGACGTTACTACTGAGCCCAATACCATCGTAATTAGATTAAATGCTGTCACTTCGTGAAATTATCCGCATGAGACATGCGCTTGGCTATGTGCAGAAACTGTGAGGTTGGAGCTGCTTGTCATGCTTGTGGGTATGGTAATTATTATTCACGCTCGTTAGCGCCTCATATTATTATTATTATTATTATTATTATTATTATTATTATTATTATTATTATTATTACTCATGCCTACTTGTTTCGAGGTATAACGACGAAAAGGGGTGAAGTGTCCGGCATGCATTGTACATGGTAAATGTCCCAGCACCGAGCATTTGGCGGACGAACTAAACACCAGCCTCGTAGCGTGTCTTTCAAGTTCTTTTTTTTTTCTTTTTTGGGCGGGTTTGACGCTTCGTTATCGAACGCAGCAAAATTAAAAAGAAAAACACACAAGGTTGATACCACGTTCCTGCTTTCGGAAACCTCCCAGTTATGACTAGCAGCACGACTTCGTCAATGTACTTTTGTAAATAGAACCTCTGCGTGCATGCATAGTCATTCAGTCAGTGTGCAGGCTCTGAACGAGAGGCCAAGCATTCTCTCCGGCGCAAGTTTAAGATGAGTTTCTATGAAAACGCTATAGTTGTCATTGCATACAGTCAGTTTTACTTACGTTATCCACGCCTAGTTTATCGAAAGAAAACAAGCTCTGCGTTTGTAAACAGAGATAGCGTATGTGCCGTGAATTCAACTACAGGCAGCGCGTTGGATATTCATTAACGAGCAATCATATAAATAAATTATCCGGATTCGGGTATTAATCTTGCCTTTGTAAGATGCCGCCACTTAAACTCATTCTAATTGGGTTAAATTACTTGCACGCAAATCACCTCGCAGCTAAAGTGACTCTAGCGTTGTCGTATGTTCTGCGACACCACGCTCTAAATAGTGTATGCAGACATAGACGGGCGCTGGAATCCCGTTGAGGAATAGGAAGGGGGGGGGGGAAGTTTCATCGCAGCCACCACCTCCCTCTTATGTCAATGTATGGGGCTCACTTTGCACCCCCCCCCCCTTTTCTTATGTGACTTTGCGTGCGCACGCCTTTGTATGCAAGAACAGATAGTTGGTCCATAAACCTCGGTCCTAGTCTCAGATTTAGTCCATTCAGTACTCGCCATTTTGTACCCGCAGATGCACCTCGCTCACGTTAACGGTGCCTCATTTATGACAAACAGGCTACAGCTGCAGGCACCAGGGTGTTATGGTTGCAAGGCTGCTGCCACCCAGGTTCACTTGAAGCACATCGATAATTCCTAACCTCTTCCAAGATGGTAGCCAGCGCTCATCATCTTCATCGTCATCATCACTCTCCGCCTGTGCTATAGTCTATTGCCGGACAAAGGCCTCTGTCAACGATCTCCAGTTTTCCTTATGTACTGTGCGAGCTTATTCCACTTCATCCCTGTGAATTTCCTAATTTAGTCGCTTCAACTGAATCTTTGCCTTCGCCTACTGCGTTTCCCATCGCTTGGTAGGCAGTCTGTAATTTCTCTTACTTTCCACCAGTTGTGGACAGCAAGAGGTACGCATTACGAGACCAGCCCAGGTCCTTTTTGCTTCGTGTCAGCAGGGATATCTGCAACTCCTGTCTGTCCTCTTACCCATTCTACTGTCCCCCGATCTCTCATTGTTATTCCCATCCATTGCACGCTGCGTGGTCCTCAGCTTTTGCTCTGGTTGTTTTGTTACTCTCCACGTTTCAGCCCCATGCGTCAGCACTGGCCGTGTGCTGTGGTTGTATACTTTTCGCCTTAATGATAGTGGCAGATTTCCTTACATTATTTGAGAGTGCCTGCCGATTGCACTACGGCCCAATTCTTTTTATCTGGTAAATTTTTTTGCGATGATTATTTTCTTCCATGAGTAGCTGTTAAGGGCATACATGTTCTTGTATACACTCCAATGTATGGTTTTCGATTTAAACTTCGTTTTGCTTCGCCAGGTCAATAAACGTTATCTTTGTTTTCACCATATTAATTTGGAAGCCCAGCTTAGTACTTTCTCGGTTTATTTCTCGGTTTAATTCGTTGCTATCGTTATTAAACCGCACGACAACCTTGATTCCCGTTTCCTCCCAGTTTAGCAGCTTAAGCACTTCCTCCAAGACGGAAGTATTTAAGGAGTATGTAAATTCCATGTTAATACCTCAGCCGATATCTACAAAAACTCGACCGCTGCGTGAATTCTCAACAAAAGAGCATGACAATGGGATGCTATTGGCCACGAGATCCGGCAGAGTCGCCGCCTGGCGGCAACTGGCCGAAATGGCGAAGTGTGGATTACTCCGTGCGTCGTCTGCTAGCCACGTCGTGTTTCTATGTGCGCGCACGTCATGCACGTTCTCAAAGTGTCGTTTGTCCGGTCAAGTCAGCGCGAGTGTAACTGTTTCTATGTATGCCTGAAACGACGTGCTAAAGCATTTGGTCTTGCTCGGCTGCTAATACATTGTAGTAAGATCAGTGAGTGCAACTTTTCAGAGAGCTGTTTTTTGTCGTCGTACACTCCATTCACCAGAATGATTTCAGAGCGCCGCTTTCTCTCTCAAGCAGATCGCCAAATGCTCTTGGTTCCTCCTCTACATGAGCAGTAATAAATATTGTGTGAATGCAGCGTTTTATTGCGACTCGGTTGTAAAAAAAAATACACACTATATTTAGGTCATGCACTTGCGCGCTGTTGATAGGTGTACAACTAGGACACTTTAGTGACTGTAGTTTATCGATCATGCGAGGACCCTTTGTTGTGTTTATCAGGCCATGGTACCACTACATAGAAATATTACTATCACATAAACTGTGACACACCGGTACTTGAGCCCCGCCGCGGTGGTCTAGTGGCTAAGGTACTCGGCTGCTGACCCGTAGGTCACGGGTTCAATTCCCGGCTGCGGCGGCTGCATTTCCGATGGAGGCGGAAATGTTGTAGGCCCGTGTGCTCAGATTTGGGTGCACGTTAAAGAACCCCAAGTGGTCAAAATTTCCGGAGCCCTCCACTACGGCGTCTCTCATAATCATATGGTGGTTTTGGGACGTTCAACCCCACATATCAATCAACCACATCGGTACTTGAACTAAGTTAAAGCAGAGTTACCGTGCGCAACCATGTGCTTAGATTGAAGAACGATTTCAAGAGCCCAGATATGAAAATAATTCAGACGGCATGCCTTATATATAATGTCGTATAATTTCACAAAAAAATATCATCTTTTTTACATTGTCTTCAGAGTTTGCGTGGCATTGTTAGTGACCGACGGAAAGCAGTGGTCATTTTCTGTCTGAAAAAACAAAACAAAAAACATGCTTGTCACATAAACCAGGCCTTTATTGTAGCACTGTCATGCACCTAATCCGTCGATGAAAGCTTTCTGCTGAGCTCTTATACAATGTTTTTATATTTTTTGCTAGTGAACATTAGCGTACATGTGGTAAACACAGTTCAGAGCAAAGCACCGTCAGCCACTAAGCATTCCTAACAAGAATTATGGACTATTTCACATTTCATGGCGAACACAATGAGAGAAAAAAAAATCATATGTGTATAAGGTGTGAAAGGTGGTAGTGAACTAATCGCACAGATATGCGGGCTTTCTACGATCTTTCTTTCTCTCTTTTTTGTAGTATGCGTATGACAAAAATGTGAATAAGTAGTACAATCACGCTACAGCAGTCCCTAGCAGGCAGAACACAAGCTAACCACGTACAAACAATACAGAAAAGGCCTGTTTTAGTGCGAAAGTGGGAAGAGAGTCACTCCGGGCGAACATCCCTATGAAAGGCAGAATGCGCTTTACTCGCGGGTGATGTTAACGTTGCATAGGCGTCGTGCACCGATTCATCACATAAGAGCGCAGATATTAACAGTAAAGTGTAGTCAATGCATTTGATCCGCCGACAGTCAGCACGACCGCACGCAACAAAGCGCCGCTGCGAGTATTTGTACGCGCCACCGACCGCTGATCCCCACTTTGGCGGGGACGGTGCTGCCACCTATATGGTCCGATCTCGCCGCGAATATCCCCAATGTTGTGGACAGCCAATGCTCGTCCTTTGACGAATATCGACTCCCGAGTACAAAAAACTCATTCCGCTTGAGTCGAACGATTATGTCTCTGCATTAAAAATTTTCTTGAACTATAGTGTGATGGTTTCTATAATGTTTAATTTCTTGTTGTTACCTCTCACTGTGATACTGAGTGACGAACCAAACGTGCCCCTTCGTGTCCTAGCTTTATCTTCGTTAAGGTTCTACAGCGCAAATTTTCTCTCTCGTTTGTGTATGCCTTGGGGCTATTCTGAAAAAAAAATTTTTTTTACGGCTCACCTTTGTCAATGTCAATCAAAAGCTCAGTGCAGTTACTTTCGGTGTTGAAATCTTTCTGTCCCGGGGAACCTCAATGTGCATGACATTTCGCCTTCTCCCGACTCTCTTGCTTTTCTTTTCTGTTTGGTCCGACTCCTTTTCTTTTTCCTTAGGGACCTGTAGAATAGAAAACGAGCAATCCTGAAGCCGACAATGTGATCCAGAACTTCCCGTTTACTAATAATTATTTCAGTAATGTACGTAATAATATCCGAAAACAGACGCTGACGAAACGAAGACATGCAGACGGGTGACGTCCACCACGGTGTTGGAATGACTTCTCGAAGCGTCGCCTACACCCCGCCACTGTTACATTTACTGTGGGCCATTCGAATGTGCACAATACGTTTATACGGCTAGTGCTTGCGCACCTGTCCTCTGGTAAGGGCCGTCAGCAGTAACAATGTAATTGGAAGATTGAACTGGCTGGTTATGCATAATGAAAAAAAATCGTTGCGGACAAAGAACGAGGGTGTGGAGTACACACAATGCACTCGCCTCCCTACACCCTCTTTGTCAACGTCATCTACCGCAAGTGTTTTTTTTTTTTTGTTTTTTTTTTGTAACAGTTACGTTGCTACGTAGGCGCACTTTATTTCCGAATCGCAAGCCTTTTCTTTTCTGTTCACCAGCTTAGTTTTCTTTTAATAGATGCACACGATATGTTGCTAACGTCGACTTCTATTAGCTTCGCCGTCGCTACATTATTCTAGAACACTATACCGTCGCACGACCGAACTTCCGAGTCCTAGCTTGACATTTCGCTCTTTCCTCGATGCCGCTTTCGTCACTTCTCCTCTCCCGCCAACAATGGGTAGGGTGGGCATATAATGACGGGCCAACCGAGAGCGCAACAAAGGAACGACTGGCTTCTCTCAAGGACGAGGACGCCATACGTGCTGCGCGTACAAACGGCGGAAGTTGCCGCCACAATCACTCGGCCGCCCAGGTGGAATTACCGGGAGCCCCGAGGGATGCGGAAAAATGCTTTCTCCTTTCTTCGGAATTCAATGTACGCAGAATATCACCGGCAACGATAGATGGGCTGATTCCGTGTCGTCTTCGGACACCTCGGATAGATGGCCATTATCTACTTCTTTTTGTTTTATCTACTTCTTTTTGCGTGTCTTTCTGCACAAATATGCAGAAAGTCACGGAAGCTCAGTGAGCCCCATGACTCTTTTCGGTATCCGGAACACCTGACTTGGCATTATTTTACGCTTAGTCTTGATCATGTCGCTTAGAAAAGCGACGCAGACACAAGCGGCATGGACCAGCGCAAGTCGTTGTCGTTTGTGTCTTTTTTATCCTGGTTTTTTGGCGCCGCAAGTACTAAGTATATATCTAGATAAAAAAAACAATTCATTCATTTTTATTCACTTGAATATCCCTTATAGGGTATTACATAAGGGGTGGGTTAACATACAATTGATAGTGTTGTCACAGCGATCAAGTTGAAGTTACATTTGAAATGCTATGCATGGAGCTAGATGGGCAGGTGATCCCTTAACACTTACACACGCTAAATTATTTACATGGACAGCACCAAGTTGCGTTTTGTCTGGACTTTTCGGACACTTAAAAGTAAATCTCTTCTGTGCACACTAGAGAGCATGAAGATCGGATTTTTATAACAGTCATATCACTCTAAACTTTTTCACCAAAAGTGTCCAATTATCACACCCGAACAAAAAGTGTCCAATTATCACACCCGTATAATACATCGCCAACGACCTCTTGAGACGCAAAAGGGTAGAAGCTTGTGAAATACGTCACCATGAATACCTGCCGGTGGGTATGTGCCACAGGTGACCGACATCTGACATCTGCCCAGGAACGGCGAGAACAGACATGGTTGATTGATTGATTGATTGATTGATTGATTGATTGATTGATATGTGCGGTTCAACGCCCCAAAACCACCATTTGTTTATGAGAGACGCCGTAGTGGAGGGCTCCGGAAATTTCGACCCCCTGGGGTTCTTTAACGTGCACCCAAATCTGAGCACACAGGCCTACAACATTTCCGCCTCCATCGGAAATGCAGCCGCCGCAGCCGAGATTCGATCCCGTGACCTGCGGCTCAGCAGCCGAGGAAGCACGGTCACTCCTGTGACCGTGTTTCCATCTTTCCTATCTCTCCTATCCCCTCGATATGTCGTTGCTTTCTGGCTTACCACCTCATGCCTCTTTCTCTCTCTCAACACCTTTATTCCTATCCTTTTAATCCCTCCTCACCCCCATCCCTTGTGAGCTACTGCTGAGGTGTCGCACCCTGATGCAGACAGTTGCGGGGCTCACTTTTCTTTTCTTTTCCTTCTTCTAAACACAAACACTCCCCCCTTTCCCCCTATACCAGAGAGCCCCGCCAAAGGCCTCGGAATTGCTTTTCAAATGGACCCTAATATTCGTGAAACGTCAATTGTGGGAGCAGTGCTGGCCATTCAATTTTATAGGTACTATATATGTACTGCTATGATACAGCCGTCATGTGGGGTTATTGTCAAGTGTAGTTAAGCGCCATACACTGAAGTTGATTTATGTACCAGTGTCCAGTGCTACCATTCTCGTGAGCCCTAGCGCTTCATAACAGCCTACCGCTTCTGGGGTTGCTATCTATGTACCGTTAAGCAATTTTAAATAACTGGTTATATAAAACACATGCGGCTGTTGAACGTATCTTTGTGTGTGCATTTGTACACATTTCTAGCGCAACTTCCTAACGTCTCGCTCGCTAAAAAATTTACAACACAATCACTTTCCATCCGCATGCCTCGCATAACATCAATTCCCAATGTACGCAAGATCTGCCGGATTTTATTTCAATTTTTTTTGATAAATCGGACGTAAATATATATGGATGGCAGTTTTGAGACCTCGAACACACAACGGCAGACGTAAAAAGGGAAGAGAATAAAATGAGGAAGAAAAAGTCTGCATCAATGATTGTCTTCGTACGTACCCTTTCAATTAATTTACTATACGATATTCATGCACTGCCTAAGTATCGCTTTGAGAATTAAAACTGTATACATATATGCGTCATATACAAAACAGCGGGAAAAAATGCTTTCTCCTGTTTAAGTAAAAAAAAAACCGGGTTAAGTACAGAGAAAAATGCTAACTTTTAACTTAACAGGGACCATAAAGCCGCAAAAAAAAAACGAAATACAACGTGGCGACTGTATATTGAAGTTGCCGCGCCAACAATCTTACCATGTCGTCATTGATATTGACAACTTCTGCTAGGGCCTCGGCAGATATAAACTCTATCTTAAAAAAGAAGAAAAAAAGAAGTTCGACTCGCAGTGTTTCGCGTTCTTCCACTGTGGGATTTTTTTCCAAACTACAAAAACTTCAGAAAACCATCTTGCAACATTGATGCTCATAGCAACGCTAATAAATATCGGGGTTTAATGTCCTAAAGCCACCGTATAATTATGAGAGACGCCATAGTGGAGGGATCCGGAAATTTAGGGCCTCGGGGTTTTTTCAAAGTGCACCTAAATAAAAGTACATGATCCTCAGTCACTTTTACCTCCACTGAAAATGTTGATTGATTGATTGATATGTGTGGTTTAACGTCCCAAAACCACTATATGATTATGAGAGACGCCGTAGTGGAGGGCTCCGGAAATTTCGACCACCTGGGGTTCTTTAACGTGCACCCAAATCTGAGCACACGGGCCTACAACATATCCGCCTCCATCGGAAATGCAGCCGCCGCAGCCGGGATTCGAACCCGCGACCTGCGGGTCAGCAGCCGAGTACCTTAGCCACTAGACCACCGCGGCGGGGCACTGAAAATGTGACAGCCGCGGCTGGGATTCGATCCGGCAACCTGCAGATAGGCTGTCGAGTACCATGACGGGTCGCATACCACCGCCGTAGTTTCAGTGCCAATGTTTACAACAAAATCCACTATGATCTTTTCTTACGTATATTTTTGGCATTCTACAAAACCGCAAAGTGTGATATGACCTTCCATACCTTCTATATTGAATCTGTCCAATGGCTCGTGAAGACAACATTTGTTTTTATGTCTTTGTTTGTGTGTGTGTTGTGGTGGTGGTGGACGGGGGGGGGGGTGGGAATCAGTGCCATACAAAAGGCACTTAATGGACATCCTAGCGGAATTCAGTCATAGTCAATTGCAACAAAGTTTTGGAACACGTAAAAAACATACTTCAAGATAGCGCATACATATGCAGGAGTTTCTATGCGAAACTTTATGTTTGAAATACGAATGGGTACATGACTATCTGGAAGCTCGCGAAAAAAAGACAGAAAAAAGAACCGTTATACCAGCAGTGTGAATCTTAACGCGGTTTGAGCCGAACTATTAGTGCACGTTTACTACGGACAAGAGCGTTCAGATTGTTATTTACTGTGATTCCACTCCACTGCAGATGTTTCCAATAAATGTGCATTAAAAAATAAGAAGAAAGAAGTACATATTCACCTACTAACAAAAAAACGTCTGAAGTCATTGCTCGCTCTAACTACAAAACAGTGTTTTACGCTCAAAAGTAGTTCCCGGAACGTTGCCCAAGGAATGGCGTTTGAGGAACGAGTTCCTTTTGTGAGGAATGGAGGAACGCCTCCATTTCATTCAAGATCGGTGGAACTGCAACGGTAATGCAAATGAGTTCGGCGGAGAAGGGTTAGGAACTCGTTATGTTCACGAGGGAAAGTCGTTGCTTATGTAGACGTTCCGCGCGCCATTCAGTAGGCGTGTGCGCGCACGCAGTGGCATATCATGCAGAACAGGGTGGGTAGATGGCCGACCGCATCAGACACAAAAATGTACCGCTAGCGTGTCGCGTGACCATTCTGCATCCTGGTTTTCCCTTCAAGGCGCCCGTCAGATCCGAGAGGAAGCGTATACGACGCCGAGACCGACCGCTTGCGGAAGGAACAATAGATTGTTCACAGAAGAGCTGCTCTGCTCTAGTTTTGCCGTATGTATAATAGCAATCATCAAGAATGAGCACACGCTCTCTCGATCCTCTTCTGCATCCCTCCCAGAACACGTGCGTCTATTTGTCCGGCATCGGATGCATTAACTTCGATGGACGAGCAAACGAGTATAGGGAGAGAGCGAAATAGATATAGAGAAAGAGAAAGAAATTCTCGGCTAGGCGAGATTCAAAACCCCCCCTCCACGATCCGAAGGTGAGCATCGTAACAAGTTGGCTATTCGTTTTTTTTTTACTTTAATGGTATTCATTCATCAAACGCGTACACTTGAAAGCAATTCAACGCAAACAGGAAAATAAGAAGTTCATTCTACGCGTGTCGCGGCCCAT